TCTCTGCTATTTCTAAGGCCTCGTTGGACAGCCACTTTGCTTTCTTGCATTTCCTTTTCTTTAGGATGGTTTTTGTTGCTGCCTCTTGTACAATGTTACACGCTTCCATCCATAGTTCTTCAGGCACTCTGTCCACCAAATCTAGTTCCTTAAATCTGTTCTTCACTTCCACTGTATATTCAAAAGGGATTTGGTTTAGATTTTACCTGACTAGCCCCATGGTTTTTCCTACTCTCTTCAGTTTAAGCTTGAATTTTGTTATGAGAAGCTGATGATCAGAGCCACAATCAGCTCCAGGTCTTGTTTTTGCTGACTGTATAGAGCTTCTCCATCTTTGGCTGCAGAGAACATAATCAATCTGATTTTGGTATTGGCCATCTGGTGATGTCCATGTGTAGAGTTGCCTCTTGTGTTGTTGGAAAAGAGTGTTTGTGATGACCAGCTTGTTCTCTTGACAAAACTCTATTAGCCTTTGCCCTGCTTCGTTTTGAACTCCATGGCCAAACTTACCTGTTGTTTCTTTTATCTCTTGACTCCCTACTTTAGCATTCCAATTCCCTAGAATGAGAAGAACTTCTTTCTTTGGTGCCAGTTCTAGAAGGTATTGTAAGTCTTCATAGAATTGGTCAATTTCAGCCTCCAGCATCCATGGTTGGTGCATAAACTTGGATTACTGTGATGTTCAAAGGTCTGTCTTGGATTCGTATTGAAATCATTCTATCATTTTTGAGATTGTACAGCTTTTCCCACTCTTTTGTTGACTATGAGGGCTACTCCATTACTTCTATGGGATTCTTGCCCACAATATGATAATTTTCTGAACTGAATTTGCCCATTGAAATAACCAACATTTATGCTATAATAAATGTATTCGCCTTCGCAAATACATTTATGCTATACATCACTAGGAGAAAATGCAGAGCAAAAGAAATTGGGCCCATGTAAAGATGATGCTCTAAAATTTTGGAAAGAAATGTGAGAAAGCCCAACCAAACCTAACAAATATTTTACCCTGCCTTTCTCCCTAAAAAAGACCCGAGTAGGCTTACATAATTAAAAAACAACATTTAAAAGCTAAAAAAGTAAGCATACAAATATGTAGTTAAAAAGACTCAAGTACCGCAATAAAAAAAAAATCAAGACCAAAAAGACATTCAAAGCAACAAGGCACAACACTGCATTTCAAAGCCTCTCTCAGACAGCCCAACCCAACCTCTGGCACAGCAGCCAGGTACCTAAGTCACGGGGCTATCCATCCAACTAGTGTACCTCTTAAAAGGGAGGCAAAGAAAGAAAGAAAGAAAGGAGCTGGTGATGGGGCAGAGAAGGAAAGCGAAGTCGCCAGAGGGGCGAAGCTGGAGGGCCCCCGAGAGGCCAAGCGAATGGGGTGGGCAGAGCTGCCAATGGGCTGGCGCTGGATTCGCCCCAGCACCCACAGGACTTCTCCCACCGACTGGAGACTGCAGCCCGCCTGGCAGGGAAGACCGGCCCCACCAAGGATAAGCGGTGAAGGGCAGATGGGAAAGCGGAGAGGGGCAGCGTTGGGGGGGGGAAGCCCCTTGAGTTCGGCGGGCCGGGACTTCCCAAAGGGGCTTCGCGCCTCGCAGGGCCGCGAAAGAGAGGCGGAGGGTTCAGGTCGGCGATCCCGTTCACTGGCCAATCAGCCCACGCGGAGGCGTCGCCTGCCGGAGCGGGAGCCAATCCAAGGCAGAGGGGCTGGGCTCCGGGCTACCTACCCGCCGGGAAAGAGTATGGGATGGATGCTCCGGCGTCCCTGTGGTCGAAGAGCGTGCTGGGCGCGTGGAGGACGGGATTCCCCGGGGGAGCCCCCGGCAGGCTCGAGAGATGGCGCCGCAGCAGAAACCCGAGGGCGACCCAGCAGGGATCCCTTCGCCCTGTCCTCCGCGGTTCTTCACCTGGGACGAAATCGGGCTCCGAACGAAACCAGGCGATCCGAATCGGGAGATGTGGCTAGTGATCGACCGGAGAGTGTACGACGTGAAGCGCTTCTGCGAGCGGCACCCGGGGGGATCCAGGATTTTGAACAGTCACGTCGGGGAGGAAGTTACGGTGAGATCCTGGGCCAGAGAGAGGGGCGAACGGCATGTCCTCTGTTAATGCGTGTCCCCGTCGTGGCAGGCTTCTCGGCCAGATATGCGTGGCCCTGGTTTAGTAGCCCTATGGTTGATTCCCTGGGAGAAGTTAGGATTGGAGGAGAGAGGAAGCGCTCCAACTACTCAGCGTCCTTTTTCCTCCGTTTTTATGAGGAAACGGGTTTGCGCCCTAGCTCATCTGCCCAGAAATGATAATGATTTGTTGTTGTTTAGTCATTAAGTCGTGTCCGACTCTTCGTGACCCCATGGACCAGAGCACGCCAGGCCCGCCTCCCTTCCACTGCCTCCCGGAGTTGGGTCAAATTCATGTTGGTAGCTTCAGTGACATTGTCCAGCCATCTCGTCCTCTGTCGTCCCCTTCTCCTCTTGCCCTCACACTTTCCTAACATCAAGGTCTTTTCCAAGGAGTCTTCTCATGAGATGGCCAAAGTATTGGAGCCTCAGCTTCAGGATCTGTCCTTCCAGTGAGCATTCAGGGAACAGAGTTAGCCCACGATAGGTACTAGGGCAGTAAGTCCCAGTACAGACCCTTAAAAATATACGAAGCAGTTAAAAACAACAACAGTACAAAAATCACCTTTATTTAGTAAGCTACATTTAAGGCAGAAGGGGGGGACACATTGTTGAAGGAAACAAGAAAGGATGTTAACAGAGTTAGCCCACAATAGGTACTAGGGCAGTAAGTCCCAGCACAGACCCTTAAAAATATATGAAGCAGTTAAAATAACAACAACAACACAAAAATCACCTTTATTTAGTAAGTTACATTTAAGGCAGAAGGGGGGGCATATTGTTGAAGGAAACAAGAAAGGATGTTAAAGTGCAAAAAGATAAGAATTAGCCCCTAAGAATATCAGTCACAGGGGGAAAAGGACAGAGTAGCCTTTAGTGAAATCTACTCCCAACCCTTTCTGGTATTTAGGACAAAGCAGTGGAAAGAGATGGTGCTTGGAGGACTCCAGGCCAACAATCCCCTTCTCATTGATTTGTGCACTGATCCAAAGTTGTGCACCAATTCAGACCATCCTCATTTTTTTGGTGTAGGTTTTGGAACTGCTGTTTGGGTGTCAGCTTGTCGGCACATCAGCTATCATTTCTTCTGCTGGGCAGTAGTCAAATTGACTGTTTCATCTGGTTAGTTAATCAAGGACACACTGCACCATAACAGAAGAGGGATGATTAACATAGAACAACTCACTTTCCTTGCACCAGGATAGGATCCACAGGTACATTCTGAGATTCCTTTGTTCTTTTCATTGAGGGATAAAGATTGTCTCTGCTGGCCTCATTTCTCCTCCCTGAGGTTAAGGTAGATGCTGGAGTGCAGGTTCCTAGTCTGAAAGGGCTTGGCAGTGGCCCAGCCCATAACAATGAGGGTTGATATACCTGCAGTGACGACAGTGGTGTTGCGACTCTCTTTGGCCCTAGCTGGTCTCCAATGAGGGTTGATATGCCTGCAGTGACGACAGTTGCGACTCTCTTTGGCCCTAGCTGGTCTCGGCATTCGCCTCTTTCTCCTGATGCTAGTTCTCTGGTTGATGCTCTCTCCACCAGCATCAGAGTTGAAAGGTGGTGGGTTCCCCATGCGTCTGATTGGCTTTCTATTTCTGCTGATCCCTCTTCTCTCATTCTCCCCAGTAGGAAGGTTAGTGGAGGGACAGGGGGTTTTGTGTTTCTCCCCCTCCCCCTTGGATACCATAAATTGCACTAGGGCCCCTTTCCAGGGATCCTCTTTATTAATTTATTCCCACTCTCTGAGTGGCTCAAAATCTTGCTCCAGGGAGTACTCTGCTCAACAGGTCCCTGCGAAATCCTCTCTACGGCATCTCCCAGTCCTCTTTTTCTTGTATTTTTCCTTCTGTCCCTTCAAGTGTCAAAGGAGGTACATGACTTTCATCAGTTTGGCAAGCCTGATTTCTACAGGTCCTCTCTGGGGGTGGGCCTGCCTCGCCTTGTGGTAAGATTTCTTTGATATCCCCCACCCACCAGGGATATACCTGAGGGTTTCCCCCTATAGGTCACATGACCATCTTCCAGGGTTTCCAGGACAAGAACTTAATTTGTGCCCCGGCATTCTTTGTTGGAGACGTCACGACTGTGCCCCCCACCAACGGTTCACGCTCATGTGTCTCCACACACTCGGTCATCTCTGGGATCATAGCAGCCTGCTCCTTGGCACAGTGACAGCTCGCCAACAGGGTGTCCATGCTACAAGTACACCAAGATGCTATTGTCTGTTTATGTTAAATGCTATGTTGCATGTTTGTATATAATTGATTTTATTTGCATGCACTCTGGTATAGTAATAATAAATTATAATATATAATATCTTTACAGTATATTATAAATTATTATTATTATGGCTGTGGTAACTGATTGATCTGTCTCCATCAAAGAGTATGTGTCCAGCCATAGACTTGCAACACTTTTGGTCTTAACTCCAGTCAGTATTTGCATAGATAATTAACCTGAGTTGTCTGTCCACTGGTAATCTGAATTCCAAATCTATCATGCCTTTTAGATACCTTTCTATTCCTTTGACTGCTACCTAGTCTCCTTGAGAAGGTGAACATTGTCTTCTGGAAAGTATTCCAACAGGTGCCGCTAGTATTTGCATATTAACCTGAGTTGTCTGTCCACTGGTAATCTGAATTCCAAATCTATCATGCCTTTTAGATACCTTTCTATTCCTTTGACTGCTACCTAGTCTCCTTGAGAAGGTGAACAGAACATTCTGGAAAGTATTCCAACAGGTGCCGCTGTGACAAACCCAGACCTACTGGGATATGCCACAGTTTCACTAAGCTGCCACCAACCATTCCCTATAAGAAGTCACCCAGACCAGGGATGGATTTTTAACAAATAAAAGAACAAGGTTTATTTAAACAACACACAGGGAAAAATAAAAGGATCAAGTGAATAAGATACAGTAACGTGGCTTAGTCTCATAGCTTCTCCTTCAGCTCTGCACACACGCTCCACATATATATATACAGTACAGCCCCTCCTCCTGATGTCCCACCTTCCACTCCCCATAGGATGGAACTTTCCCTCCAAACCCATGACAGACAGGTAACATCAGTGCTGTATGTAACACCTCCCCTCTTTATAAGTTGTTTTGTAGGGGGAAAGCTAAGGTGCTTTTCACCAAAAAACAACCTGGACCCAAAACAAACAAAAACAGTCATATAATAACATACAATACCATACTTACTTATACTTACACTCTATTAGGCATTTAAACATTTACCATTAACAATACATCAAGTTACCTTTATTCATACAAACCAACATGTTTAATAAACAGACACATTTGACTTTTTGTCATCAAAATATATACATAGTCCATGTTTCTTTCGCCGTCTTCATTCTTCAGGTCTTCTTGACAAGGCGTCAGCAACACAGTTCACTGACCCTCTGACCACCTTCACTTCAAAGTCATAGTCCTGCAGGTTTAAAGCCCACCTCATAAGTTTACTATTGTGGGTTTTCATTGTCTTTAACCATTGCAGTGGTGAATGGTCAGTGCACAGAACAAAATGTCTTCCCCAGATGTAAGGCTTGGCCTTCTGGATCGCGTAGACTATGGCCAGGCACTCCTTCTCCACGGTTGCCAAATGTCTCTCACCTTTCTGGAGTTTCCTACTCAGGTAGGACACTGGATGCTGGTCACCATTCTCATCCTCCTGGCAAAGAACTGCTCCTACCCCGCTGTTAGACGCATCGGTGTAGATGATGAACTCCCGGTCGAAGTCTGGAGCACGCAGCACTGGATAGTTCATGAGGGCCTCCTTCAACCTCTGGAACGCCTCCTCACAGTCGCTGGTCCACGGGATGCGGTCATCAGCCTTCTTCCTCGTCAGATCGGTCAGCGGAGCCGCAATCTCGCTAAACCTCGGGATGAACTTTCTGTAGTAGCCCACCAACCCAAGAAATGATTTGACTTTTTTCTTGGTGTTGGGTCTAGGCCAATCACGAACTGCTTCGATCTTAGCCTCTAGGGGTTTTATCACTCCTCCCCCTACCATGTGACCCAAATATTTT